CCAAACTTGATGTGTGCGAAGGGCGACATTGGACGGCCTCGATCTGAACCTTCCAGGTGAGTCCTCACGGCGGCCCTAAGCCTTGCTTCTCTCATGCTAACAGTTGCAGGCGCTTCGCCTTACCACGTCCAGTACTCAGTCCGCCACAAGCCCTCCGCGGCGCCGATTCCCAGGAGCACAAAGGACTTCGACGCTGCTCAGAACCCGGGCCACCCATCGCCATGGACACGTCCAAGGCTGGCGAGTACACGTACACCTTTTCGGCGCTGGCAGACGTTCTCTACGATAGCGACAAGAACTTCACGCCTCTTGTGGTGCGCCAGCGCGTCAACGCCAAGCCCTCTGCATCCTTTGTGAAACCTGGACAGTCGTTCAAGTACTGCCAGTCGGAGCAGGACAACGAGGACAAGATTCCCATTACGCTCACCGGCATTGCGCCCTTTTACCTCGAGCTTGAGATTAAGCACCACGGCGGAACGGTGCCCGAGGTGTACCGGATCCCCAGCATCAGCACCAACTCGTACTCGATCCAGATGCCGCGACAGCATCTCCACCTCGGCGTGCAGCACGTGCGAATCCGCGAAGTCCGCGACGCGCGCGGCTGCCTCCAGCGGTACGACCTCAACGCGCCTTCGGTGCAGGTCCACCTGTACGATGCGCCGGCCATCTATCCCCTCGAGACGCGGGAAGACTTCTGCGTGGGCGAGCGCATCGCCTACACCCTGTCCGGCACACCGCCGTTCGAGATCTGGTACGACTTCCAAGGCCAGCAGCGCAAGGCCAAGTCACAGACGACCAGCTTCCGGCGCGTCGCCGAGACGCCGGGCGACTTCACCATCACGTCCGTCTCGGACAAGGCCTCGGAGTGCCGGGCGTCGGTCGACATCACCAAGACGATCCACCCGCTCCCCGCCGTGCGGATCAGCAAGGGCAAGCAGACGCGCGTCGACATTCACCAGGGCAACGAGGTCGAGATTCACTTTGACTTTTGGGGCACGCCGCCGTTTGAGTTTACGTACACGCGCAGCTCGAACCCGAAGCGGGGCCAGAAGGTCGAGGTGCTCGAGACGAAGCGCGGCGTCTCGTACGAGACGAGCACCGTGATCCGTGCGAGCGAGGAGGGCACGTACGAGGTCGTTGCCATCAAGGACAAGTTCTGCTCCTTCTCAACGCAGCAGGTCCAGGACGGCAAGGACCAGAAGCTGCTGAAGTACTAGGCGCAGGCGAAAGCTGTAGACGACGGCAGCAGACGAGGCAGACGAGAGGCAGACGAGAGCCGCAGACGTATGCGGGCACAAGATGGGAGATGAGCTGGAACAGGGGCTGGGACGGGCAATGAAGGAATGTCCAGCACGGGCGGGCTGCTTCTGGCGAGGTGCAGTGCGGCACCGCGGGACATCTATACCACGGCATGGCGTTTGATTCTGTAGGGATATTCAGGTTCGATTGTGCATTGTACCGCGTGAGTTGACTGGCGTTGGTGCGTGTGACTGAATACTGACTGGCTGTATTGAGCTGTTGGTGATTTGTTGACTGGCTGTTATTGTAGCAAGTTCCAAGTCCGTCTTGTATACGACAACAGACCTGCAGCATGGAATTGCAAAAGCCGACGGTTCGGGTTGATCGAATGCCCAATCTCAGGCGAGCGGCCCGGGCTGTCCGGACATCCAACATGGCCGAAGCTCGCGGAACGATCTATATCATGTACGAGTGATCATGTGCGAGTGACCATGTGCGAGTGAGGCACATGTGAACCCCCAGTGGAATGACGAGCACTAGAACAGAAGTTTTACCAGCCAGCGTGGAAGCAAGACCACAAAGCCCGAGCAGCATCCGAAGACATGTACAGTGGAAGGCAGTGACAGACAATGCGCATCCGGATCAGCTCAGCAAGCCAGTACGGAATGACGCATGAAAGTCAAGCTGGCCTCTGACGAGCATGGCTGGCTCGTAGTTCATCGACAGGGCACGAACTCTGAGCGGCTGATTGCTGGGCTGCTTCGTGCTGCGGGTTGAGTGCCTGAGGCTGGCGTAGGGGAATCAACCAGCCCGGTCACAGGAACCTTGCGTTGGTCTAGGCAAGACGCTGACTCGGGAACTTTGGTCCTTAGGACCGCGGATGTGTGTGCGAACGGACTTGGATGGACACTCATGAGCTGAAAGACTGTATGATTGATATCCCAGGGTCTTGGGTTTGTTACGTGAGTTGCGCAGGGCTGGCATTACCAACACGAGGGTACTTGAGACAGAGACAGACAGAGGCACCCTTGATCAGAGACCCGGTCCGCATCAACACGCTTGACAGATATGTGAGCAGGGTAGCAAGCGGTGTCGTGCACAGCGTCGCGGCTGGTCCTGACCCTTCCTTGGGTCATCTCGTCAAGATAGTGTCACTGGGCTCGCAGCCACGACCAAAAGCGTTCCCCCATTAGCACTAGTGCTGTGCAGACAGAGGCAGAGGTACTAACTCGGACGAGCGACGCCAGTAGGATAGGTAGCTAAGGCAAGGTGCTCTCAGAACTATAGAAAGAGTACTGAAGCCAGGATCCAAGACCAGAGCAGAACTCACCCATCCGGCAGGACATGCCCCCGGCCCGTATACATTTCACGAGCATACCAGGCCTAGAGGCGCTGACGCCACGGGACCAAAGCAACTGAATCACCTTCAAACAGAATCCTGCCCCCGAAGGACGAAATGAATCCCGTAAATCAGCGGACAATTGGAATATGATTATGACGGTCCAAGGATGGCGCGGCGGCGCAGGCGCCTTTGGCCTACATATGATTCGTTATGGTGTAACATATCATCATCATCATCTCGTTCAGATGTGCCGTCCTCTTTGCAGACCGCTCGCGCAAGGGGTGACAGAAGCCGCACGCCGAATCTGCCAAACGCAGGTATCATCTAGACAGACTCCTGCTTCAGGCCCTCTTAACACCTCTCATCTCAATCAAATGCTCTGAAGCTCTGCTTCCTAGATCCTCAGCGATACATGAAGATCAGAGAACTCTAACTGATTTTGAATCAATGTCAAGTATAGTGTCACGGTTCAGTGAGCTTACCTTGTGAGTGCGGCTTTTTGTCGCCCCTCGGTAGGTAGCCGTCTAGTGGGACCACCAGCTCGCTGCCAGGCATCTTTCTACAGAACACCCTCACCTCCGACGACATTGTGTTGCAATGAACGAGCTGCAATTCAACAAATGGTATTAGCAAGGATATCAACTTCAGATCCAACCATGGTCTGTAGATACGCGCAAGTCACGCCCGATATGCGTATCCACCAGTCTACTCTGCAACCTCGATCCTCTTGATCATGTCCCCCCCAATCCTCGCAATCTCCAACAAGACGGCCTCCTTGTTCACCTCGACCTCGGCCCCGTCCCCGACGGCCGAAAAGTTAAAAGGCAGGCCGACCCGGAACGCCTGCCTCCGGAGCTTGGGCTGCCAGATGGCCCCGACGACGGCGTCCCCGCGGCTGCCGCGGAAGAAGATGAGGCTGTCCTCGTACGCGGCCTCGAGCTCGCCGAGCAGCACATCCACGGGATGCCGTGCCAGCGGGAGCGGCACCTTGCCCGTCCGGGCGTCGAGGTTCTTGAACGCCGAGTGGCGCGCACCCGCGTCGGCGGCGGCGTCGCGGAGCACGCGCTTCGTCTCCTTGGACGAGAGGTGGAGGAGGAAGTCGTAGTCTGCGAGGGACGGCTCGAAGAGGGCGTCAATCTCGAGCGCGACGTCCTGCTCGCGGACGAGGCGGACGGCCGACTTGGCAAGGCGCGTCATGCGCGTCGCCGAGAGCTTCGTCGGCGCCGTGCGTGTGTACGACTGGCCCGTTGGGTCGTGGGAAGTGGCGACGAAGAGCACGGCGTGGTTCATGGTGGGGTCGCGCGCGCGCCAGGCCGCGAGCGTTGTTTGCGACAGCGCCGCGTCCGCTGGAGACATGTCGTCGGAAAAGTCGACGACGAGGGGCTGCGTGCGCCAGTCCCAGCGGGAGAGGAAGAGGAGGGTGCGCAGGAAGCCGGACTGCGCGCTCGAGGGGATCTTCCACGGGTGCGGGCGCAGGAAGACGTGGAGCACGAGGAGCTCGATGAGCTCCTCGGAAATGTGGCCCGTCAGCTTGTGGCTGTTGAACCAGTGCTTGGTCATGCGGATTGCGGGCGAGAGAGCGGGGAGGCGCGTGCAGAAGCTGGCGATGGACTGCGTGTGGAGCGGCAGGTCATTGTTCTGCCAACGGATCTTGTGTAGCGTCTCCTCGGCGGCGAGCCGAACATAGGGGTCGAGCGTCTTGTTCTTCGCCTGGCGCTCGAGAAGTGTCTCCTCGGGATCCGAGTGGACGCGCAGGCGGAACGCCGCGCCGTTCTCGTAGACGACGTCGAGGAAAGCCAGGTTGTCCGAGTCGCGGACGGCATTGTCACGGCCGAGGCACGTTGTGATGTTGTCCTTGGCGGCCTTCAGCCTCCTGTCAATGTCAAGCAGGAATTCAATCTTGGCCTCCTGGATCGCCACCACATTCTCAGGCCACTTGCTCGACGCTTCGAACGTGAGCGTCACGTCCATAGGAACGGCAGTGCCCTTGTGGAAGCCGATGACGGGCGGCTGAATCGAGGCGTAGCGGAGTTCGGGCACAACAGGCGCCAACCGCCTGATGGAAAGGGGCAGGTCCTCGAGACTGCGAAGGTCGTGCTCCATCGTCTGGAAAGCGCGCCTCGCCGTGTCGAAAGCCTCCTTGTCAACGGGCGTGAACTCGAGACCATCCGGCGTCTTGCCGCCGTAGAAGTGGATGTTGCTCTCCTCGACGCTCGCGTGCAGCTTCAGCACGTAGCGGGTAATCTCCTCGCAGATGCCCGCCGCAGATGTCTGTTTCCAAGGGACACACTCGAGGATGCTGCCGTCCTTGAATCTTCGCAGCTCCGACTTGTCACCCCAGAACTGACGGAACCTGGCGGCTTCCTTCTTGCGACTCGGCCGACGGACCATTACTCCATGGGCTTGGCCATGTTGCCCAGGTCAAAGACGACCCCGATGAGCAC